CGGGCCCTCTGACCACCACCAGTAGGCAACGGGTGAAGTGTCTTGCCCAAGGACACAACGACCGAGACTGTCCCAGCCGGGGCTCGAACCGGCAACCTTCCGATTACAAGACAAACTCCCAACTCTTGAGCCACGAAATAATACAGGGTGTTGGCCGCCCACTTGTTAGCTAAGCACTTCTCTACAGTGCTGTAGCGTGGCTCATCCGCTGATGTACTGGCTGATGTACAGTACTGGGGGGTCAGCACCACACACCCTAAGGCACCCTTTTTCACATGACAGTTGACCCAAAGCATGAAGTTTTGTCCATTACGTGCTGAATTACGTTTTTTTAGAGCTTGGCACTCCCAGTTTTATATTTGTAGGTCCAGAACCCCATGTGGCTTCCTGCCAAACAGGAAATTAAAAAAACGCAGTGAAAAAACAGGATCTATTCATTGGTTCCAATCATGTTCATCATCATTAATCAGTGAAAGCCTTATTCAGATGCTGCACCAGACCATCAGTCTGTGGGTGATACACTTTAGCCCAAATAGACTTCATACCCAGCAATTCAAAACTGGCTGACATGAAGGATGTGCTCTGGTCCATCAGAATCTCTCTCAGGATTCTGATACAGGAATTATGTGTGCGGGCTGTTGTACAAGCTCCTGTTGTCGTTTTTGAGTTTCACAAGTTTGCTGCTTTGTTTTCTGCTAAGCAGACCAGCATTTCTTTAAGTTTGAGCTGTTCCGGTGGTACCAAAAAAGGTGTTCAACACTTGGACTCATCCTAACATCATTTATCTGCAGAAATGCATATCCAAACTGGGAACGACTTTAAATATCAATCAACTGTCCAGTTACTTCTCAGTAATGGGAATACGACTAAAATGGCTGTAGTTCCTAAACAGTTCAACACTTTTGTTAAACTCCTCGAGTTAAAGCTGAGAGTCACTTCATTCACATCCTGATACTTTTATTTAAAATCCACTGCAGAGGACATTGTCCAAAGCTTGTGTAGAATGTGGCAGATCCACTCAGGTTAAACTGTGCGTGTTACAGATGGTGTGGGCAGACACACACAGAGTGGGCTGTGCCTTCCATCTCTGTGACACTATGGAGGGACTGGACTGGGACAGAGTCTCCTTCCTCGTCTGTAACTACTACCCAGCGTCAGTACCACGACTCCCTCCAGTGTTACTGCTGCACAATACTACAACAAGCGCTCCCTCTTGTGGACAGTAGTAATAATGACACTTTATGTTTGACTGAAGGCAGAGACGTCATTAAATGTGGCTTCTATTTAAAAAAAAGTTACCTCACAATAATGTAGACGATACAGTATAAAACACTTATACATCCATGGTGCTTCGTGTTAGTTCTGTTGGAAAATGACTCTAAGACTAAAACTAAACAGTTTATTCAATCATTCAGGAAATCCCCCAAAGTTGATTCTGTTCATCTGATTTGGATTTGTGTGATATTTTGTGTACGTGTGTTCAGAGGGGGCAGCACGGTGGCACGGTGGTTAGCACTGTTGCCGCACAGCAAGAAGGTCCTGAGTTCAATTCCACCATCAGGCCGGGGTCTTTCTGTGTGGAGTTTGCATGTTCTCCCCGTGTTTGCGTGGGTTCCCTCCGGGTACTCCGGCTTCCTCCCACATACATACACATACTGTTCAGTATATAAACGTTTATGTGTAAGGGTAGTGACCAGTTTTCATGACAGCAACAATATTTTAAATGTCGTTTTCAGTGACCCAAACAATACAAAAATGAAAGTTGACACTGTTGTACTTTTCTGACCTGCATCACTGAGGCTCAAATCGAGGAAAATGTGTTTTAGGGAGTCTTGAAACTTTCAACCTGTACGTGCCAGGCTGGTGTGTATTGTTAAGTGACAGTGGCCCCTGACGCTGGCATGAGAAATGTGTGTGTGTGTGATCCACGCCAGTCTTTCTAACATTCTTGTTAGCATCGCCCTGGTTTCCTCAACACAAAGCCAATAAGATTTTTCCAGTTTATAAATCGTACATGCACGTGCAGTCAGAATAGGACTTTCAAGAAGCAATCACATCACCAGGTAAAGTTTTCTTTATGAATGCATGTGACTCCATCATATATTTGATTATTGCTCCCACATCTGCTGCATTGTGTTTCCAAAGAGAGGACCAGAAGGAGAGCAGCAATGGACATGGGTTTGAGTGGGTGTGGTGGGCAGGCCTGTGGAGAAAGTAACAAAGATGTGAACTTAAAGATTGTGGATTAAAAGTTTAAAGAAGTGAAAGCAGGGACAGAAGGTGGAGTGGTGGTTATGAGAGACCAGACTTTCAAAGTGAGAGAGTGGTTGAAATATTCATCGCTAAATGCTCGTAGTGCTCTCAGCCTATTTCTGGTCCTGGTGCTCTGCAGAGCTGCAGACTCACCCTTCATGTGTGTGTCTGCAGCTCTTCCCTGCAGCTAAGCAGCATTTCTGTTCTTCTATTAAAATAAACGTGTCTGATTGTATTTCTGTTGTGTACGTCGCTCTTTTAACCCTCCCTCTATCAGACTCTTTCACTCTGTGCTGCTTTCTACTGTTTGCCTTTGTGTTTGGAAAAGAGAATATCTTTTTCACGGCTTTCTGATTCTGCTATAGGAGGAGATGTTACAGGCGCTCTAATGACTGCCTGTGTGAACTATTGAACGGGCCTGCTACCCACAGAGGGCTGTAGGGGATGTGACTGAAGTAAATCAAATGAAAAAGCTTCTCAAGAAAACTTCAGACACAAAACAACTGCAACAAGAAGGGAAAGAAAAACGGAATTGAATTGAAAGCCTTTCTAGTCAGTATACACAGTGTAACAAGATTAAAACCAGCTCTGTAAAAGTGCACAAATAATATAAATATGCAGTACAGGAGTGACACAGGCTGACAGCCAGAGAATGATGGCACTACCACATATGTTACACTGGACTACAGTACTACAGCAAAATAAAACGAGGCTCAACTCATTTAGCTGCAAAGAAAATAACTGCATGTAGATGCAAAATGATTTTACTCAAATATCAGCGCAAAAACCCTCTAAGTGGCTCCAAAGAAACGTGACAGATACTGTAGAAAAGGTCTGGAGTGATTACACTATTACAACTATACAAATACAGGAGACTCGGAGTCTTATGAAAGAGTGCAAACATGTCTGAGACAGCAGACGCAAGCAGCAGAGGCAGAAGTCGGTCAGTGACGCACTAGAACAGCTGACTGTGAGTGCAGAACATCAGTAACACATTTATATTTATTTACAAATCTTTGAGGACATTTGTGTTTTGAAACTAGCTGCACAAGCCGACACATGCCTGTTCTTTAGTTTCAAAGTGACATCGGGTGCTAAAGTCTGACCTGCATCGACCATCAGCTGAGCGTCCTCCTCATCGCGCCACGATTGCTGCAGAAACAAACTACTGCGAGCTGAACTTGCAGTGCAATAAATATTAGCGTTTCTGTTTTTTGTACCATGCTGTTTGAATTCGTTTAACCTCATGTGTATTAGTAGGTTTCAGCTGAGGCGACGCTGTGACTTTTTTGGGTGTCCATGGACCCCGAGGCCCGTCCACAGCACTGGACACTGAAGAGGGAGACCGAGAAAAAATGACAGAGGAGACAAAAATGGCCGTCGCACCCATGAATGCTGAAGCTTTCTGTTCCGTGTTTGTACTTCTGTCTCCCACATTCAGCATCGTCACTGTGAAACACGGGAGCTTAATGGTGATGAGACTCAGTGTCAGCTGTGTCTGGCAGGAGGACGGGTGGGAAAGTTACCCAGCAGCAGGGGGCGGGGATACTGGTCCGTATATATTAGGGGACCAGAGGACACCCCAGCACTTTCCCCCTCTGCTGTTGCTCTGCAGTCTGTGCTTAAAGCTGTGCACCCGGGGTTTTGCTTTGCTGGCTTTCTGCTTTGTAACTCTCTTGCTAAATGTCTGTCTGTATTTTTCTTGCTGTTCATTTGATTCAGTGTATTAAACTCTGTCCCAAGGATTCGACTCTTTTCCAGAGTCTTTTTGAGTGTCTTGATTTTAACCGGAGCTAAAAAAGTTGGGTCTCCACATCGTCAGCGGGAGAAGGTTATCATGATGGCTTCAAAATTTGCGACCACAAGATCTTCCTTATTGAACTCACACATAAGCGTCATTATACTGATTTTGTAAATGAAGGTTAGTTATAAGGCTCAACAATGAACTGACTGCAGAGCGCCGTGCTCTGATTTTACACACTTGGAGAACCGTCCAGTTTTACATAAGCAGAATGCTAAATGTCTTTCAGGTTGAAGTAAAATAAGTCACTTTATGTTGCGTCCTGTCGTGACCCAGCTTGGGTCCTCCGGCCAAACAATGACGCTGCCGCTGCAGTGGACACAGTGATCCACTGCACTGTACTGCACAGGCCTCCAGTGACCACACCAACAACCTTCCTGCAGGCAGGAGGAGTGAGTTTGCATTAAAGAGAAAGACATGCAGTCAGTGTAAAAGGATGGAGGGAGACACACAGAGGGAGCTATACAAGTAAAAGCAGGGGGAAAGATCTCCACTGAAGCTAGAGTCCAGAGTGACGTGGCCTCTGGCCATCTCATTTCAGAAGGACAATCTGAAATCACATGTTAACACACCTGATGGGAAAACATCCACACACACAAATAGTGTGTGAAGATGCTAATGCTAACCACTGATGGGAAGTACTGGTGCCTGCACCTTCTTATTTACATAGTAAAACTTTCTAAAGGCAAATACCTGGGGTGGGGTCTGGGGAGGAGGGCTGAAGAGTGGCAGGTACACCTTACAGGTTGTACAACTGAAAAAACAGAACATATTTTTGTTTTTAGGGAAATGCCAAGAAAAGAGGAAGACCTCAGAGAAGATACATGAATGCAGGTGGACATGCAGAGGTTGGTGTGACAGACGATGAACTATAGTGATCCTTAGAGATAAGATATTTTCATCTTACTTCGCACGAAGATGAAAGATTTGAACCTATAACTTACCAAGAAATATCAAGACTTGCATGTTTACAGTCAGAGACAAGAAACAAGGAAGAGACAAGGATGGAAAAGGTTTTTCTGTTCATCATAGCTGCAGCAGGCAAGTATTGTAATGTGTTTTTTATTTTTCATGTCATTTTCATATTCATTTTAAACACAGTGTCAGGTAGCACTGTGTTACCTTGTGTTACTGTTATATTAACTGATCTAGAAACAGAAGGATAGTCATCATTAGGAAGTCATTTTATGTTTATGACATTAATATTGGTGGTTTTACAGCTCTATTTAAATACACAGCTAATACCACTACAATTCCACTGAAACCACACAGATAAGCTATATAATTATTTTTAAGTCCAAATGTAGTCGATATTTACATATAACACAATAATATTCCATTTCTGCAGGGCTGTGTTCAGGCTCCTCATATGTTAAGCGTCAGTACCATTTTGTTTATGACTGGAAGAGCTGGACTGATGCTCTGAGTTACTGCAGAGAGAGATACACAGACCTGGCCACCTTAGAAAACATGGAGGATGTGAGGATCCTGCAGAGCATGGCAGACTCGAGTAAAATGAACTACGCACAATACCAAAATGTGAGTACACTTTTATCCTCTTTTTAAATTTAATTGATATATGTAAGCCACAGGTGGGAGTTAATGTGTTTGTATGTATCAGTGGCATGGTAGGCATGGATGTCGTCACTTTTCTGCACTATAGTTAAAAAGAATCTGCTATATTACAAAAAATATATTTTCTATTACCTGAAAACGACTTTTCAGATCATTCCTTTGGGTAACAAAGCAATAAAACACCATGAAAACACCTCAGCACACATAAAAATGTATTATTGAAAAATTGTCTCAAAAAGAAAATTATTTTGCAGATAAATGTTCACCTATCGTTGGATTAAGTTTTCTGATTTGTGTTCGTGCTTTTACTTGAACGTCCCAGTAGTCCATTACGTTTTTGGTCAAGTCATCATCTCTGTGCAGTGTTGGGACGGTTACTTTTAAAATGTACTCCACTACAGATCACAGAATACTGAAGGCTACTCTCCACACCAACACCAGCTAGATGTTTAATCTTAATATAAATGAGTAACAGCAGGTTACATTAGGTAAGGCTGCACTTTTTGCAGCGATCTCGTATAGAAAACTATTCCACGCGTATATAAAACAGGTCCGCGGCTCTGAACCGTAGCAAAGGGACCTCTGAATAATACGTTGGGTTCGTGTCGGCGTTGAAAGGCTGCTCCAACGGAGCTTATTGTTTCAGAGGTCTCCAAGAAGGCTGGGTACTCTGATCCATCATTCGGTGCATAAGTGCAGTTAGGAACCATTCCCTGACCTGAAGGCGCAGGGAAAAAACCCTCTTGTCCACTGGGAGAAACCCCTACATACATGCTGCAAGCTAGATACCCACCCCAGCTCGCCGCCTTTCACCAGGGGCAACTCCAGATTAAGTCCAGCACCTCGGCTCCAGGAGACTGGTTCCAGAGCCCGAGACATGCGTTGAGGTGATCCCAACTATACTCAGCCGGTACCGTTCAACCTCATGCACTAACTCGGGCTCCTTCCCTTGTGTGTAATTTTGTGTTTAATCTGTATGTGCGTGTAAAACAAAACAGTTTTCAGTTTTTTGTACACGGGCCACTCCCCCCCAAAGCTCACCCTCAACACAGTCCACACACAGCCTAACTTTACCATTGCAGGGGGTCCATTGGGGATTGAGTCTGTCGACATAACACGCCACTGACCACGTAACTACAGGTGTGACTGGGTAATTACTGCACCAGGCGACCAGATCTCCTCTCGGTCCAGCTCAAACTGAATGATTCCAAAGAAAAATGAGACCTCTCAGTTCAGGCTTCATTACTAAGACAGGAATGTAGGTCATATCGTTTTAGTCAACACAATTTAATTATTGCTTGCAGCGAGCCTGGATTGGGATGTATGGTGACATTAACGGCTGGAGGTGGTCGATGCCAGACACAGATTTCTACAAAAATGATGAGGCTACGTTCAGAAACTGGGAGCCTGGACAACCGGACAACTGGTTAGGGAACGAACACTGTGCTAAGTTACATGAGACTGGATTATGGAATAATGACAAATGTGGCAGTAAATTTAACGCCATTTGTTCTGATGTCACAGGTGAGGGTTTTAATTAATAAAATGTTTTTTAAATGTAAAAGTCAGCAGTATTTTCATCTGCAACCGGAGCTGTTGTGTTTCAGGGATCTATTGTTCTTCAGAACACTTCACTTTGGTCTGTTTTCAGGACTGAACGTGACATTTGTCTTCATCAACAATTTCATGACATGGACGGAGGCTCAGAGCTACTGCAGAGCCCATCACACAGACCTGGCCAGTGTGAGAAACATGTCTGAGAACCAGAGAGTAACAGAAGTGGTACCTGCAGGGCAATCCGCCTGGATCGGCCTTTTCAGAGACTCCTGGAAGTGGACAGATGGTAGTAACTCCACGTTTAGAAACTGGAACCCAACTCAACCTGATTTAAGCACAGGGAGTAAGGTTTGTGCGGCAATACTCTTTCCATCTGGAGTATGGGAGGACTGGAACTGTGATCGAAAAACAGCATTTATCTGCTACAGGGGTAAGCTGCACTTTGTTACTTTCCACCAGTGAACAGCAAAATTTCCAGCTTACCTCATTTCTCTAATTTAGGCCAACACAAATAAACTGAGTTGCTCAGCTTTTTGAACGAAAACCACCGGTAACTGACTTAAGCTGATAAAACTGAGTTCAGTCTACTTACTATTTTTATTTAAGCACAACATTAGATTTAACATTGAGGTAGTCTTCAGTTTTGAATTTAATTACATGTTTGTGGCGGGGCGTGGCCTGCGGTGCAGTGCAGAGGAGGCGGACGCACCTGCACAAGCCCGGGTAAAGGAGCAGGGTTGGAATTGTGACATTAAAAAAAACAATAATTGCTAAAATAAATTTAATTTGTAGCTCTAAATAAACTCTAAATGCATTTAGGACGTTTTT